GGCACTTGTTACTAGAAGCGATGCACTTGTTCCTAGTAGCTTCTTGTGACCTGGACCTTTAGACTCCGCATACATCGACGCATGCCTTTTCCTGCGACGCTCCTTCGATCTTCCCTTTGTGCCTTCTCAGACTTCGCATTCGTCAATCGTGAAACGTTTTGCAAATTCGCATGGCGGTTCTGGCAGCTGCAACGTGGGTGCATACTGCCCCGGGTCCACAGTGTGGCAGGCAAGAAGCAAAGCTTCGTTCGAGCAGTACATCACCAAGCTTCATGCGCAAATGCTTTGGAGGGCCACTAACGACTAGGAGCAAGGACGCTACTAGGGGGCTCCTGGCCATTCCTGGCCTTACTACTAGGAACAAGGACGCTACTAGTAACATTCCTATGGAAGCCTTGGAATGCAGTCGTCTTGCTCCGCCACGAAAGGACGTTAGCTAGACTTCAGCAGAACTAAACCTCCCTTCCGTTCACCAACAATAACATACACCTGGGATCGCTACTAGGTGGAGGCCACCGCTAGTAGGTTCCTTGAAGTCTTTTCCTTAAGCATACACCCTGCACACTCGTGATTCGCGAAAAGATGTTCGTCTTTTGCCACATTGTTTCGATATTGCGGGCACGGGCCCCAACTCACCTCAGTTCAGAACTCACTGATCTTTGAGACAAGCTCGGTAGAAGAAGATCGGTCCTTTTTTCATCTGGTGCGTCTTCTCTTATACTGATTAGTCTTGTTCAAACCACAACACAAAACTGTCGACACCCGCGAGGTTTTACGATTGGGCTCTTGATCCATTGTTCATCAAAGAGGACTTCCGGGCACCAAAATGTCTCACATGCCTTCCCAAGGTGAATCACAATATGTGATTTGCATTCCAAAACGAACTGAGTTGGTTGAATAAAGACAGGTGATAAGGAAGTCAAAGGAAGCGTTCCTTTATCTTCTGTATGTCTGATGTCTTTCTTTCCTTTGTCCTTCCTTTCTGGAAAGTGTGCTTCAAATCTTCTCAAATGCAATGCCTTTCAAGACAATGCAAGTGAATGCTTTGCTTCCAACCTGATAGCACAAGGAACCTACTAGCGATGGCCTCCAAGCACCAAGACTTCCCCTTGGGCAGTGCACTATGGACGGCGGGCACGAGCCAAGAAATCCTCGCGTCTGAACAGGCACAGCGTCGTGCTCAACGCGGAGGCCCCGTTCGTAGCGTTCTTGTACTGGTCTATAGAAGGATGAACATGAATTAATAGGTCTATAGAAGGACCAGACCAAAAAAGGGAATAGGTTCTCGTTACTGGAAGTAAGGAAAGGGGTTTGTTTGGCACATGAAAGGCAGAGTTTTCAGCACAGTCTGGTAATGTGTTGATCACGAGCATAGTAGTTATACAAGTGGGTGCAAGACAATCATTCTTTACAGGTCTCGGATAGCTTGCGGTCTTCAGAAATTGCGGTCGCTTCTGTCACCCTGTCTTCATGTATACGAAGGCATGAAACGCAAAAGCAAAAGGAAATCCGCCGACCCCGGCCTATAGCCAAAGCCTAGGCGGGGAGGCGCCTGGGACACCGCAGGGTGAAGCAGTTGGCCAAGCCTAGCAGAACCCTTCAAGCACTTCCGAAGGCGCAGGATGCAGCAGTTGGCCAAGCCTAGCAGAACCCTTCCAAGCACTTCCAAAGGCCTGTCCGAGGCCTCACCAGCTGGCCGGCCTGTTGCGGCCTCTCTGTGGCCTGTCCGAAGCCTGCCTCCTCTCTTCTTATGGGCTTCCGAAGGCAACGTTAGGCATTTTGGACCGGCTTCAAAAGCTTTTCGGCCTCTTGCGGCCTCTCTGTGGCCTGTCCGAAGCTTCTCGGCAGCCGGCAGGCCTCTTGCGGCCTCTCTGTGGCCTGTCCGAAGCCTGCCTCCTCTCTTCTTA